AAGAATGCTAAATCTTTGTTATTGTTTGAATCACGATAGATCAATCACTAAAGTTTGATGATGGATATTAAAGCTGCAATGCTTATTCAAAATTTATATTAATAATTTATTAGCGTAAAAAAGTCGCACACTACCATGATGACAGTAGTATATAGTAGTAGTAGTAGATAATTATTTGTCAATTAATAATTAATCTCATTGAATTATTTATTTGGTTCTCAAAGAAAAAAAGAAATACAGTAACTGTCATTAGCAAGTTAAATTTATTTTTATATAATGTCACATAATAAATTATTATCATTAGAAAGAAGGAAATCCATATATAAACTTATAATGAAATGCATGATAAGGCAATAGTTATTTCTGAAAGTAGAAAGATTATTTTTTTTCATTAGTCAAAAAAAACCAGGAGCTTTCTGAAATGGAAAGGAATATTGTAAAGAAGAGTTTATTTATAATTTTGAATTAAATAATGCAAAAGATGCAATGAGTGTAAATTAACAAGATACTCTGATAGATTCTGTGAAGGTTGTGTTAGTTTACAATTACAGAGACTTTTCACTAATTGGACATCTGGAAATAACATAATTGATGATTTTATTCAACAATGTCAATTAGAATCATCTTTGCCAGGATATATTTTAGAGTGGATACCTTTTGAGCAATTTGAAGAAGTAACAAAGTTGAAAAATCATCAAATAAAGTCTATGGAATTGTATCATATGTTGCACCCGAACTACTTAGAGGCAAAAAGAATCAGATATTTATAGTGTTGGGATGTTAATGTGGGAAATATTTGAAGGACACCCGCCATTTGATGATAGGGCTTACAACCATCATTTTAATTCTTGATATATGTAAAGAAGGTTTACGACCACCAATATTACCAGGAATGCCTTATGGCTATGTGCAAATGATGGAGAAGCGTTAGGATGCGGATCCATCAAAAAGACCAACTATTGTAGTCTTTCAAGATTTGCTGAAAAAAAGTTCAAATATAAAATCATGATAACAACAGTAGCAGTGGTGGTAGTGATTCGCACATCATAAAAGTAGAATATTAGATGAAAGAGGTTGCTAAATCAAAAAGCTTAAAAAGTTATGCAAGTAAGGATAGTTCGTTTTCTCTAAAATATTAAGCAAAGATAAATAAAGATTTCATTATTATCCACTAAAAGATGATGAATGACCATATTATAAGTTTATTCGTTATAATTATTTTAATTTATCTTTTTATTCTATTTTTATTTCATTTCTTAAAGCTAAATTATGGAGTAATAAATTTTTACAGTTTTCTGATTCTTGTAAAATGGCGATGTTGCAAGGTTGCTTTTTGATAATGGATTAACTTTTGGGCCGCTCTTGTCAATTGATTGCAAACAGCTCCCGATAATAATAACTCGGTATTTTCTTTCAATTAATCAACTTACAAATTTACTTTAGTTCTCGGTTACTGCCTCTTTCTTGTACCTAGAAAGCTTGGATTAACTGTAAATAAATAGAACAAAGTTTAAAGGCTTCTATAAAGTTCCTTTTATTCGGTTGTCTTCCCTTTTTTTTTTTTTTTAGAAATTCTTATATGCGTGCATCTAATTATTACCTTGGCTACGACAATATCAATTGCATTCAAAGCTCACATACACACACACACACACACTCTCTCAATTCAACTCTTCAAATTTAAAATACGTATATTTTCAATAAATTCATAAATTTATTAAATGGTCGTTATAAACCACCATCTCGTCAAACCATCAAAAAATTAATAATTAAGAAATTTAATATTAAAAGAAATAATCTAAAATATGACATTGAAAAAATACCTGGAAAAGTTGCATTTACAACTGATATATGGAGCAGTATGACGAATCAATCTTATTTAGGCATCACTTTGCATTTTATAGATGATGATTGGAACCTGAAAAACTTAACACTTGATGTGATTCATTTGGAGGATCATCATACTGGAAATATAATTGCAGATAAGGTTTTTAATTTACTTGATGAGTTTAATTTAACCACTAAGGTTTTAGCATTTACCACTGATAATGCTGCTAATATGTTGAAATTTGGTGAAGTATTGATTGATCTTTTGAGGGTTTGTTCCAATCATCATATTATGCACATAAGATGTGCTGCCCATATCTTAAACATAGCTGTGCAGCATGGTCTAGAGATAGTTAGTGATGAAGTTGTTAAATTGAGGAATTATGTTAAAAAAATAAGAAGTTCAACATTATTGAATGATGAATTATGAAGAATTTTTGAAAATAAGAATGAACAATTCTTATCACCTACCTTAGATTGTCCTACAAGATGGAACTCGACTTATTTAATGATAAATAGGCAAAGAAAAACCATGGAATACCATCAACGTCTTGTTAGATCTACTTCAAGTGGTGCAATATTAGATTACCCAACTAATGGTTATACAAAAGAAAAAAATCCAAACTTTGGGGTTCTAGGCTTACCTTTTTTGGGATTTTAAAAAATTTAAATGATATTATTGATAATGATCAGAATGAGCAATATTTAATAGCAGATTCTGTTAGGCATAAGTTGCAAATCTATTGGAATTTAATTAAAAAAAATACAAGAATCTGTTCAATATTAGATCCCCATTCGAAATTAAGACTTTTTTTTAATAATGCTGATATCAGTGAAGTTAACAATGATGTTAAAGAATTAATAACTGAGCATATTTCAAATGCAAACAATAATAGCCATAATAATAATCAATACCCTATTTCACATCATGTATATTTTTATAATCTTTTCACTACTAATAGTGATAACTCTAATACTAATGATCAAAATAACATAGATGAATACAATAATTATCTCAATTTGCCTTCAATTTCAGATAACATTAAAGTAGATACCTTAACTTGGTGGAGAGCACATCAAGAGGAATTCCCAACACTAGCAAAAATAGCTAAAGATTATTTATCTATCCAAGCAACCAGTGTTCCAAGTGAACAGTTGTCTTCACTGGCTGGACATACTATCAGAAAAACCAGAACAAGACTTCAACCAGAAACAACCAGAGCAT